CCTATACACTGCTGAGCGACACACCCATACTATGTGGACCTAACAAATAATCAATTGTCCCATGCATTCGGATCAACGTTATAATATGTAATGTTTAACTTTTTTCCCAATACTCGAGCTTCTTCGTGTCCAACAACTGAGTGAGTGAGTTAGGTCACATCGGCAGAATTTCAGCCATATCGTCACTAAGAAAGTTATAAACTTATAAATGAAGAAAAACAAATTTACATAATATACGTACCTGTCTGCAATGGACAATAAAACAACTAGACTATCACTGGTCGAACTGAAAACTAGTAATTCGAAGTGAAGTTAAAACTAATAGCACAATTTGGACAATGCATAATATGAAAATAGGCTATAGATCGCCTACAACTGAAGGTAGATCACCATATTAGGAACCATGGGGACTTACAGTACCTTTGCTACCTGCATGGACCCTAGTTGATCTACGGTATCCCTTCAGCTGCTGGCGGTTGCCATGTCCAACGAAGTCTATATCATACCTATATCAAACCCAATATCAAATCACATCACATCACATCACATCACATATATCACAGCTTTATGACGTAAGTGTATCATTGAAATTTATACATCCTTTACCTTATATTTGGTGACTTTCAGGCGTGTATATCTCAAACATACTGGGGTAGCCTAGTGGTTAAAGCGTTGACTCGCCATACCGAAGACCCGGGTTCGAATCCCCACATGGGTACAATGTGTAAAGCCCATTTCTGGTCTCCCGCCGTGATGTTGCTGGAATATTGCTAAAAGCGGCGTAAAACCAAACTCAGTCAGTCGGGCAGTCTTAAACATACATACTTCACTTTCAATTCTACACGAATTTCTCGAGTACATACATGTATGTGTATGTTTAAGCATGTTCATACTATGGCTAATATAAATAAGGTAAGCCTTAAACAAAGTATCTGTCTGCCTGCTACGGATAAACATCTAACATGAGGTACAATATGTCAGTGAGAAAGGTTCCTCTTTCAATATGCAATAAATCCCAAAATTGGTTATTTAGTTGCCGCCTAATAGATAAAACCAGAGGGAATTATACACTTAAGGAATAAACACCATGCTAGGTCAAGAGGCAATCTTTCAAGTTCAACCTCGTTACACTCGCGTACATATGTCAACACGCCCTGCTCAATCATATCATAGGCTGATGTGACTTTAAATATTAACTCACTCACTGGAGATAATCCAGTATTGAAATGGTTTCGTCAAGCTAAAAGATGATGGTGTTGGTCTTGCATTAACATATCGTGTATTCTACCATGACATCCAAGAATCCCCGAGCCTTACGGATTCATAATTACCAATCATAATGATCAATGATTGACTAATCCGCTTATTAATGCTTATTTACGTAGTCATATGTTGCAATGTTTTATGACCTTTATGCGACAATCAAATCGGCCACTATTTAGGCTTTCCGTTTGAGCATTGTTATGTGAGAAAGTTTGAGGACAATCTTAGTGTTACACGTTGAGAAATGCAGTTACGAACAACTAGCCAATATCTTGAAAGTGACGTAGCCAAAATCCAGTTGTTATCAGCAATTCCACTTCCAATTTTGGAAAAAGAATTTTGCAATATCTACCTACGGCGTTATTACCGGATCTTTATGCCTAATCTTGATCTAGTCTACTAATATACATATATAACCTCCGATAAAGTACTTTTACACGGAACATGATTTTCAACTTTTTCTGGGCACTCCGAAAGTTTGCCTTGGCCCAACTTCTACCCAGTGAACAGTTTCCTAGTGGTGTGCAGATGCAGAATGCATTTCCTCCAGGTTTACGAGTGAGTGAGTGAGTGAGTGAGTGAGTGAGTGAGTGAGTGAGTGAGTAAGTGAGTTAAAATTCACATCGGCAATATTTCAACCATATTGTGACTAAAACAAGTTTAGAATTCACCATAAATACATGTAAAATTTAAAACTGTCATCGAAGGACAGTATAACCGACTAGAGTATCACAGTATCAAGAAATAAAACTAGCATCTCTCTCTAAAATTGCATTTTATATTAGGACAATACCGTATAAAAATGGGCTATAGATCGCAAACAACTGAAGGTAGGTCACCATACTAGGGCCCTTGGGCACTGGCGATTGTAGGAAAGTTTCAGATTTACGAGAAGTTACGAATGCACTAACTCTTCCTTTTTATCCTTCAGTGAATGCCAGCAGAAGGGTGTTGTCTGTACAGTTGCTGGGCCAATAATAAGAGGTTTAGACCCTAGGTAATTGGTTGCTAACACTTTGTGATGTATCTGGATTTCCCCGCCTTGCTGAGAGCAAAGGAAAACATATAGTTTCCTGCTGCAAATATATCAAACCATGGGTCTCTGGTGTACACTACGAGACCATAAAGTTGATGCTAGCCCTATCCAGGGTTTAGAAGGCCTCAGTACTTATAAAACATTTGACATGAGTTAATATTTATCGTTACATCGGCAACATTTCAGTCATATTGTGTGTCCAGTGAGGGATGGGACATTGAGAACTGTGTTATTCATAAGATGTGACTAACGGGATCGCGTGATCAGGTTAGCTGGCTTGGTTGACACAATCATGTCGTCGTATCCTAAGTACGTGCTCATGCTCGTAACGTTAGTCACTGGATTGTCTGTCAAAGTTCTAGAAAATTATGCACTCGTGTAGCACAACCTCCTCGTGGTGGGTGCTTGGTAACGCTAATAGCTCTTCACCCCCCTGTGGACCCGGGGTCATATAGGTCCACAGCATCCCATTGTTGGTCGTAAGCCGAATTGGGCAACCTGTTTGCCGTGGGCTGCGCGCCTGCGTCGGTGGAGGACGGGATTCTGGTGGTTGAGGACATAGGAACCAGGAACCGTGTTTCTTTTGCCCAAGAGAAAACTTAGTTGGGCGGTATAATAGGCCCGATTCTATCAATCGGCTGGTCATGTCTAACTAAATCCTCTTTAATTTGCCACTTCTGTTATATTATATTTGTCTTTGAAACTAAACATTGATGTGATTGTAATTGCCTAGAATCTTATACCAGAAGGCGGTGGTTTATGGGCCAATTTGGTGAATAATGGTTCTTGTCAAGGGCCGAACCCGTCTGGCATTAAATTGGTAGATAAAACAGCTATTCATGACAAATTCTCTGAATTATACCACCCCTGTATCCCTGATGTCGGTATCTCGGATATCCGATGCTAATTGACACCGCGCTTGTTGACATTGTGGCGGATAGGGAGCAGGGTGCTGACTCAATTATTCTTATCATGGATCGAAAGCAATCTGTTTCATCTCGTTACGAATCGAAGAGATGCCAAGGTGAAATTGAGCAATCTAGTAAATATTTGGGCTGGATATTGCCCTGATGTTCATATTGCGATATATTACAATACTTTAAGATATATTGCAATAAATATTGTGATATATTGACTGGAAGGTTTCTGCCCAAGTGATTACAACATAAATTCATAATAGCTCTCTGTGTGTGACATCATCTTCTTAGTTGCTGTTACACCATACTTTCAGGCTCCCCATCCCCATTGTGTATGGCTGTGTGCCAGTGGTTTACAGATAAATTAATTGATATAGAGCCGGAATGTTGAATGTTTAACTGAAGTATTGCAACAAAGTTTGGCGAACATAATGATAAAGGTAATAGCATTACATGATTTTCATGGTCAGTGTTGTTTGTTTCAACAGAATGCACTTCAGTGCAGTATGTAATTATTGTTACTGTATGCCAGTGATTCAATCAGATTGACCTACAATATTAACATGTGTTAACATGAACTATTGCAAAATGAAACGAAAACATGATTTAGTTGAGCATAAAATCGCATGTGACCTCGAATAACTAAGATCATTGACTAGAATGTCATTATACAGTCCTACAAAATTGATAAGACTTAGACCTTTATGATAATTGATGTCTTATGTCCCATTATGAAACGAACAAAAATAACAAAATACTGTGAATTGTGAAAAGCCACTCAGAGCCAGAGGCTTTACTAATAAATACAAATAAAAAAATGGTCCTTTTGAAACCACTTAATTCCTCCAAATTAATGAAACCATTAAAACCCACAAAACGTAAAGCATTTGGTAGAATATTAGGCACTTTTTGAGCCACTTATAATGACACTTCCACATGTAAAATGTTACATGAAACCAACAGAAATATACATATATTTGGCACTTTTAGAGCACATGTTTTGCTATGGAAACCAAGGGCACATAATTCAAAGGGAGCTAAGCTGGATGAACAATATATAGCAGAATCTGAACCATATCGCAATTATCGTATTGCGATATACTGTACCGGTATATACCGGTTTACCGGTAATATTGCACAGACCTAGTTAAAATATTTCTTAAAATGCTGATTCATGGGCTAGATTCATAAACATCGAAGGTAAAGATGATCTGCCTATAAAGCTAAATCCATTTGCCATCAGCAAAGAGAACTCTGGAATTTGTGGTGAAGTAACGAATGTAACCCGTCTTCGTAGTGGTTCACTGCTGATCGAGTGTGCACGGAGGCAGAAATTTCTGAATATTCTGTCAATCAAAACCAACCACGTCAGTGAGCCTGACCACCCGATCCCTTTGTTCGCCTCTTAAGACAAGCATGGGTTGCTGGAGATCAATTCCAACTTGTATCTTCGCGGTATATCCACAACTGTGCAATTCAAAGACTGGCTTTTGAAGTTATTGAACTTGGGCTTTACTCCATTACGTCTCTGGTAAAACACTTCAACCCATTAAATATTGACCGTTGGTGAGATTTTATCAATAATAACAGTGACATGATTTATTTTCAAAGCTATTTGTATTAAATGGCATGGTTTCACCCGATGAAGGAGTAAGAATATATATAATAAAGAAGTTGACATCCATAAAATGCTTGTCATTATATGTATCGCTTATAAATGCCCTTCAAAGACGCTAATTGTATTGTTAAAAATATTTGTTTTGCAAATAACACAGAGTATTGTTGACTGCAGGAGCGCCAACGCTGATGCCCCAAGGGGAGCTAACTGTTACTGCACGCCGGCCAAAGGCTGCTACCATCGTCACTTCCTAGTAAAGCCCATCGTAGTAGACAGCAGTCGCCGACGTGGAGGAATATTCAGCAACAAAAACAAGGGTTCTCACGACTCTGACTACTACCTAGAGGTCACTGTAACAAACCACGCCAAACTAACAACAAAGGTGGAGTTTAAAGTAAGTGAAACTTTCGTATAATTCATTGAAATCTCTTCTGTGCATTGTATACCAGTATACATGATTTCCTGCTGATCAATATACACGTGATCTGTTTCATATCATGTTGTTTAACGATCTTGTACAGGTGACAATAGATGCAAGTCCCCTCATCCTGGTGTGGCTCACGAGGGTCAGTTGGGGAACCCGGAAGTGGACTACCAGCAGCATCTCCAACTCTACACTCACTGGGACGGATTCTTTGACAAAGAGAGCGGAGTCAAATTCTACCAATATAAATTTGGGTCTCACTGTCTCTCAGCGAATGAATTTGGAGCTGATAAATCTTTAGTCGAGGTAAAGAACCCCATTACAAATCCACCAAGTAACATGTCCTTAACTTGCAGATGTCATATATTGAATGCTACGAAAGTAAATTTGTCAACATTGTTTTCAATCATGCAACTTTGACATGATTAAACTGGGGGTTAAAACGGTAAAATAATGTTTCCTCTCCATGTAAAGATCGCACATATCTGTCTTAATATTTCGGATCATTCACTCATGAAATGCAGGTCACAGAAACCTATTCCACATCCGCCTCCTGGACAGCGCCCTCTGTCGGCAAGTATCACGTGACAGTGGTGGCCTTCAACCGAGCACTGGAAGCATCTGACCCAGTGTGTTCTGACGGAGTGACTGTAGACACAACACCACCCAATGTCAGTGAGGTGGCAGTGAGAGACTCCAGGGTGATGGAGGGGCTGGTCAAGTCATCAGATAATACTGTGTGGTTCATCGACGCCGACAGGAGGCGTACCCTGGTGGTCAATCCAGATGGCAGTTGCAGGTACAAAAACAGTTTACTGAAAAATAAAATAGATTTCCGCGATACGTTACTGTATTTCTCCTAATAAGCGGATAAAATAGATCATTTTCACATGGTACCATAGCTTCTGAAATTGTTTTGGAGGTTAAGAAGCATTATTTTTGTAAGTAGCATCACTTGCAGACATAATGGAGATATCATCCGATCGTACAATCATTTGTGGATTATGGGTGGGATAGCCACTCTTTACGAAGTTACGCAATATGCCAATGTCAATATCGGATAAGCTGGTCCAGACCTGGGATGGAATGTGTTATGAACCTATTTTGGATATTGTTTTCAGCTGATGATACTGTAATTTACATGTGGAACACTGTTGTCGCTATTATTAAGGAAACGATATTTCGCACTGAATGGGTGTGTGTATTTTTTGTTTGTTTTCGGGACAGTTTTCTTTTCCGATATCCAAAAAGTTTTGTGCGTGCCAAAAGTGGATAGCGATTTGAAGCGTACCCTCATGATTAGCCAAGACGTTGCTCCGTTGCTCGATACCATTCAATCGAAATTAAATGGATAGTTGGAAACACTGATACGTCTAACCTCTTTTATCTAACTTAAAACCATTATCATCATAATACATAATCACGAAAATACTGTTTCCGATTCTCTTGTATGCATACAATGGGTATGATATACATACATAAGGTGATCGTGTCTCCAGTTCCAAGGCCACACCATCGGATAACAAGAGACTGTCCCTGTTTCCAATACTTCGGTACAACAGTGGAAGTGGGATGCATCTTGGGATCAATCAGGAGTGTGAATCTTTACTAGCATTGCCTGTCAGCTTCACCGATTTACTCTATGTCTACAGGGAACACCACGTGAGTACCTTATGTCCTCAGGCAGATTGTCATAAACTACCAACATGAACACCACTTCTGTGCTTTGTTATGACTCATTATGTGTTAAACGTAACAATGTTTTGCCTTGCTTCTCATATCAGTGTTTGACTATTTCTGCACGGTAACAATGTTTTAGCTGTATTTCAGTTCTGATTGTGATTACTTTTCGGCTATTTTGTAACTGTGCACTGCTTCTCAGTAAAGTGTTTGATTATTTCCCAGCTCTTCGTAAACTGGACTGGCAGTGACACTGAGAGTGGTATCTATGACTACGAGCTGGGACTGATGTCAGATCATTCTGGTGAAGCAGTGATATCCTGCCATACACGTCCACTCATCATCATCCTCAGTATCAGGGCTACCATCCTCGTCTCAGTGAAGGGCAACAGTTCTACATCGCCATCAAGGCCATCAACAAAGCCGGCATCTCAACTGTCAGAGTAGGGACACTTCTCAACTGTAAGAGTAGGGGCACATCTCAACTGTCAGAGTAGGGGCACATCTCAACCGTCAGAGTAAAGGCACATCTCAACCGTTAGAGTAAGGGCGCACTCAATCGTTTACATTTCATAATTCTGTCCGATGAAATCGTATATGTTTGGAATCATCTGAACATTGTTTTTTCATCATAGGTGGTGGGACCAGTAATGGTACACACAACGTATCCTATATATTCTGGACCAATAACCGTAATGCTGAGGGAAAATTACCTGATTGCACGTTGGACCGAGAGAGCATTCATCGTCACTGAACATGCAAAATACGAAGTTGCAATCGGTATGCACGATCATTACCAACATCAAAACAAGAACATCATATCTGATATCTGTAAGATTTTGTTAAAACTATTATGTTTTCAGGATCTGAAGCCGACTTTGGTTTTAATGCGCAGAACTTATTCAAGTTTGTCTCATCAACATCAAATTCTATCTGTAATTAAATAATCATTTGGTAACGAAGATAAATGTAAACCTATTTATCGTTAAACAGTGTCCGCCTTATAAGTAATCAGTAGCTCACAAGCAACATTAATATCGTTTCCAATACTCCAGTATAAAGTATACAGTTAGGCATCACACAGATATATCATGTAACTGTCGCCAGTTCCAAGGCCACGCCAGTAGATGACAATTGACTGTCCCTGATTCCAATACATCGGTACAACAATGGACGTGGGATGCAACTTGGGATCAATCCTGAGTGTGAATCTTTACTAGCATTGCCTGTGAGCTTCACCAACTTACTCTATGTCTTCAGGGAACACCACGTGAGTATCTTATCTAATGAAGATCGCAATGAAGTACTAACATGCACACCCCTTGTGTATATTTTATTACTCATTATTTGTGAAACTTAACAATGTTTTCTCCAGCTTATCATATCAGTATTTGATTATCTGTGTCAAGTTACAACGTTTTTATCCGTATCTCAGTTCAGTTTTTGATCATGTGTCGTCTATTTATAAACTGTACACTGCTTTCAGTAAAGTGTTTGATTGTTTCCCAGCTCTTCGTAAACTGGACTGGCAGTGACTCTGAGAGTAGTATCTATAACTACGAGCTGGGGCTGATGTCAGATCCTTCTGGTGAAGCAGCTCCAGATATCCTGCCCTACACGTCCACTCATCATCATCCTCAATATCAGGGCTACCATCCTCGTCTCAGTGAGGGGCAACAGTTCTACATTGCCATCAAGGCCATCAACAAAGCTGGCATCTCAACTGTCAGAGTAAGGGCACAAAGAGAATCAGAGTTGTATGTTTATGAAGAAGAGTATATCACATCAACCGTTAGAGTAAGGGCGCACTCAATCGTTGACATTTCATAATTTGCGATGAAATCGTATATGTTTGGAATCATCTGACCATTGTTTTTCATTAAAGGTTGTCGGACCAGTCACCGTACATACACGATACCCTATATATTCTGGACCAATGACAGTAATGCTGAGGGACAACTATTTGATTGCACGTTGGACCAGAGACAGCATTCACAGACACTGAACATCTTAAATATGAAGTTGCAATCGGTATGTGTTATCATTACCAACATCAAAACAAGAACATGCCTATCTGATATCTGTAAGACATTGTTAAAACTATTATGTTTTCAGGATCTGAAGGCGGTCAGTCGACAATAATCCCCTTCACGACGCTGCAGTCAGGAGGAGGTTGTACACTGACATCGCCACCCACGTGTACAGCCGTCTCCCTCACAGACCTCCACTGGGACCTCCATCACAGCCACACCTACTTTGTGTCAGTCAGAGTCACCAACATAGTAGGACTGTCTACAATAGCAGTGTCTGAACCCTACGTCCATGACGTCATGCCGCCGTTACGTGGTGTAGTAGAAGACGTTATTCCAGCTGGGAGAAGAATCTTTGCTTGAAATAAATGTATGTTTATAACTTGATTCAGTGCTCAGTGGGGAACCTAGGTTACAATCGTTCATAAAAGAACGGAAACTTGGTCGTCAGTGCGACTTGATTAATAGTGTCGAATGTAACTATTGCCATTGTCTGTTTGAGACTTGACAAATTACATCATGTGCTAGTTAGGAGGATAATTGTCGAATGCGGAATTTGAAATTAAGCAAACAAACGTGGTGCCCAGCGTTGACGTCCCCAGACACATATACTGGACTCATTATCAACTTATAACATTACAAGAACAACCCACTCCCCATCCGCACGTCTCCGATGTATTCCAAATATAATCAAAAACAGCATAAATACAAATAAGCACACGTTTCGTGTTGATAAATACCATCAATATTGATGGCTCAAATTGAGTTGACGATCTGTCACCGACGTGTCAAAGTCTAACATGATCTCCCACCCTCCTTCTTACAGGATTTGCATGGTCCACATGATATATCCTGGATGTATTGAGCCAGCTGTTTGTTCCAAAACTTCTCTTATCCTGCTCACGGTAGCTATAATGTTAGCATTTATTACCCCTACTTGTTGTGAAGACTATAGTATGTCCTTTTGATAAATACTTCAAAACACTATAAAATGGTCTTGGCACGTAAGTGTAGATACAGGAACCATGAATACTGTTCATCTTTGTTTACAATTTCTTTTGCTATCACTTACGATCGGACATGATCGTTTCAAGAGATGGATGTTCATACAGTCTTCTTCTTCTACTTCAGTGTAGAAACAACGACGTGTCCTAGAAATACAGATCTACCAGCATTGGTATCAATTTGCAGTTCTTAAATAAAATATTTTCAGAGTATACATTACACAGACCATCAAACATCAACAACAACTCTAAGAGCCAGATGGTATGGATTCGTTAATGGTGTTGAAAATGTTACATACAAAGTCGGAATCGGATCTCATCGTCTCGGATCAGATGTCAATGAGCTGATGGAGGTTGGCCAGGTTTTACAGCATGAGTTTACTGGCCTACATTTGCACGAACATCAGGTTTGTAATCTTATCAGAAACTTTATTCACGTATACATCTTTACAATATCTATACATTCGAATGCACGCAATTTGTTGTTTATTACAGAAGTATTTTGTGACTGTCGTGGCTGCCACTGGTGCAGGAGAGATGACGGTGTCCTCTGACGGTGTGACGGTTATCAGGCCAAACGCTGATGTCACAGATGCCACTATCAGAGATGGACCAGGATGCGGGAATTCTGGTATACAAAGGAATTACTAGTTGTCCCATATACATGCTAATCGAGGTCTGACATGTCTTATGACGCGTCCGGCTTTATTAACGCCTCGGCCACTTCGTTTTATTCAACACTACAATATCATGGTGTGGTTCAGACCTTGAACGTTCATTATTATGGTGAGATCCACTTACAGGGGCTCCATGCTGACAAATCTTTACACAAACTCAGGGGACAGTGATATTTTAAAACACAGAAATACCTTTCTGACGCATCTCTGCAGATCCAACTACAAGGCATTCATGGGTTGTATTTCATTTCACTATGTTGTCCCACCAAACCAGCCCGACACGTTTTCCTGTTCTATTTACAGGACAGGATGCTGATTTAAATACAATGGACACCGAGGTATGTGTAAATACGACGCACTGATATGTAGTATACGTGTTACATAGTACATTGACTGTTAATAGTTGCAGAGGCAGAGACGAAAACAATGACTCACATCTAATCAATTCCAGGATTGTGCCCGTGACCTGAGATTCCAAATCTCTACCTCAGCATATGCTGCCCACTGGAATAGGAGCGTCAGTAGTAGCCTGAACTACCAGGATGTACACTGGGGGTTACAAATACGATCTCCCTCTGCAGGTAGACCAGCAAAAGATGCACTTAGTGTTTAAAATGGGATGAAGGGAACTGGAGGTTTGACCAGTCTTGAAAACACAAATGGATACAAAGGCTATCACGTTCAAGTTTAAATGTCGCTTTTTTTATGTGGGAGATGTAGAATATGTCATAGAAAATTTGTATGCTCCATGAACGGCCAAGGCGATTCGCGCCTTTAGGCCACATTAAACAAAGGGTTCCAACCAGTGTAATTGCTTCACAAACATTAAAGTTACTCTTTCACGGTTTACAATATTAATACAAAACTTTTCATTTTTTTCAAACCTGAGTTATCCACTTTGATTATTGTATTCGGCCTTGAGCAGATGTCTGGGACGCTTGAAGACATTTCGAGCCCCTTGGGTCGACTGAGAGGCTCATAGTTGGTAACTTAGCTTTAGAACCAGGACGAACCTTCAGGGCTGCAATCAAGTTCTGTGCTGGTAAAGTCTGTACGAAGCCCATCCATAGTGATGGTGTGACTGTCATACCCCATCCTCCAGCAGCTGGAAGCATGGCATTAACATATCAGGAAATTGACGGGGGACAGGCTCAGGTAAAGGGTACTGTTACGGTTTCTAAAGTCTTATGAGTCCCCTTTAAACCAGCAAAATATAAAACAAACAAGTCTATAGTGTTCAATTATATATTCATTAAACAAAATACACAATGTTACAAAAAATGACAGATTCCCAATATAATACAATGGATTCACCAATCTAACATATTAACTCACTAAAGTCTTGATATTTACAGTAAACAGATGTACTGATTGAAGATTATTGACAGCTGTTGAAAGTTCAATGTCCCCTTGAAACGCCAATGTAAACCCAAAGTCGCCCCCCTCATACACCTACACAACAATCCCTTTTATACCTATTATACATGCCACATTACGATCTCCACACAGCTAACTGCATCCTACTGAAGACCGGAAGCAAAACAAACAACAGGGAGGTGACTCCTCAGCTTTGTTGAACCATAATATCTGAAAGTTATTTGATGTGACATTATGTTTAACAAAATCACATCCTCATAACTGTACATTTCTGATAATATTAAGGTATGTCTGAAATGCATCTTTCTTGAATAGGTTTCCCAGTTACCAAGGTTTCATTGCACGAAAGGAAATGTTCGGGAATCTATATTCAGAAAGAAATCCTCCAAATTTGAAAACACGTATTGTTTATGTCGTATGTCGCAAAAGTAGGATTGTAACTTAACAATCACGTCGACATAGAGTAACGTAAACATTGTGTAGGGAGTACTTATCCGAAGGATCTCGTCAACAGTATCTGTCAGGGGTCAGTGGAAAGTCTTTACATCAATAACGTTACATGGGCCAGTAACATTGGTGCTAGAAATTAGAGCACTTTATAGTGTGTTTCATTTAATCTTTTCCATAGATCCAGGTGACATTGTTCCGTTTCCGTGATCCTGACATACCGATTCTGTCAGAAACCTATGCCGTCATGACCAGATATGAATGGGGTCTCACGGATAACAGTCACAACAGTTGATCAACTGGCAGGAGGTAGATGCTGGCAGTATTGTCAGTATCAAAGACGAGGTGAGCGTGAACAATATGGTCTTTGCTTAATTTATTTGACATACAGCCTGTATTACATTTTGAACCGTATTACCATAGGACCTATAGTTTGTGTTTCATTAGTGAAATATTAATGGCGGTTTTGTGTTTCTAGACACGTTTCCAGATAACTCTTCCGAAGCAGCTCGACTTTACCAAGTGCAGAAGACTGACGGTCAGGGGTTACAATGTAGTTGGCATGTATTCAACAACTTCAGCAGATGTCAAAGACTGTAATGCCTATGACCCACGTAACGTTGTGCCTGCAGTCGTGGTAGATGCTGTTGGTGAGTAAATACTGAAGACGACACGAATCTAGTGTCATAATTGATAAAGATATTTTTAATAATATTATAGTAGCGCACATTTCCATTTGTAAAGTTTGTATATTTCAAGGACACTGGAACACATGCAATTGATGCAAGCCGTTGTGATTTCAGGCACAGCGAAAGGACTTCATCTTGGATATAGCATCAGTTTAGATCAGAACAGTCACTTGGAACACGATGATGTTGACTTCACTCCCTACAAGAACATCCTGTCTGCTGCGTGGCAAACTCTACGTTACAGGAACTACACGTGGGCAGTGGTGGCAGGTGACCAGTTGGACCCCTCATCTCACTACAATAAAGAGACCCTGATGACCGTCACTGACCCCTGTAGCATGCCGGATGTCATCAAGTGTGGAAACACAGGTGATACTGATAACAATGAAACTGATGAAGTCGCTTGTATTTAAAGGTAACTGCATAAAACTGATTTGTTATCAATTCGTATTTACCAGTTCACGAGTTCCTAAACGTAGAATTCACCCAAGAGGAATACCTACAGCATGGCAGGAGATTTTATGTGTGCATCCACGCTGATGAGAAGGAAATGCCGTTCGAGAAGTGGACGTCCAACCTGACTGAAATGAACGCTTGTAGTAACGGCATCACAGTTGACCTTACGCCACCAACACCGGGGACAGTGAACGTCGACGGACTAACAGACGGATCCTTTCAGGTACTGGTAACATAAGTATTAGATCCGACAACAGAGCATATACCACAGTGCATTTTGACAAATCTGTTTGGTTCATTCTATTTATGTATGCTCTCCAACAAACCTGCTCACATGGATTCTCCAACTTTCAGATTAGCAACACAGATGTTGCCATGAAATGGACAAACTCCACTGATGTCGAAGAAGAGGGACATGCGGCCCGTCAGCTTGGAATCTCACATTATGAGGTTGCTCTTGGTATGAGACATCATATAGCGCACTTTAGCTGGAATATTATTCCATTGATACTCTGAACATTGTTCGTCTTGCTGAATGTACACCAGAATGTATTGATCTTTAAAATATATTTAAGTGAATGACTGTAAGTTGATTAACATTAAATGTTTTTCTCTAGGATCTGTCCCTGGTGGACAAGATGTCGTCAAGTTCACTAACGTTGGATCTGTCGACCATTACACACTCCACAGTCTTCATCTACATAGTGGAAATACATACTATGTCTCAGTGAAAGGTACTATTAAATGCGCATTAAATTACAATCTAAAGCGTACAAACTGTCGAGCAGAGGAACGAGTTCATCCAATTCTTGTGGCTCAATAAAAAACAAGGAAGATTAAATCTATTCATTGATGTATTCCATACAGATATAGTAGCTGTGTTTTGACCTGAGTTTCGGCGACTTTGTTGAACCTAGTAATTTTACATTTCTTTGCTCTCGAAAAATTTTCAATCCGTGAAGATCCTAGTTAGAACTGATCTTCAGTAACCCATGCTTGTCGTAAGAGGCGCCTAACGGGATCGGGTGGTTAGGTAACAGATTTGGTTGACAGACCACCGCCATTATTGTTTACAAACCGTCGCCATGTAGCTGAAATATTGCTGAGTGCGGCGTTCAACAACAAACCAACCGACCAACCAATTTTCAAGTGCATCTTTTTTTGTGGTCCGGCAGTTTATACACATTGCCAAAATGGTAGGGTATATTATGTTTTGAGGTGACACTAAAGGAACATAGACTAATGCCCAGCAAACAATTTATAGGACCAAAGAATCGAGCTTTGAGTCCTTATCAGCGCCTATAGGGCGTTAACGTCGAGCGCCAAGACCGTTTTGAGTGCTCTACAATGGTGTGGGGCGGTGTCATAATGTTTGGCCCAAGTGGGTCCCTATATTGTTACAGGACAACACCATTGCACCTCTCGTGGTGCAATTTGCACTACGTGTTGGGCCACGGTTCATCTTTTAAGGTGGCGAGGATAATGCACATGATCACTGAGCCCGGATTGTGACCAAGCTGCTCAAATGCATCCATTTCGTACCAACAGAGACGAATTTACCCGATATTGGTGACATTGGCTACCAATTGCAAATATCGAATTTAACCCGTAGCCTCAGTAACGACCTACTGCTTGACAAACCGATGGCCACCAACCATTACAACACAGTAGATCTGACCTGCTCACGCACAAATAGATACGATTTCTAGTATCAACTATAATTTGGTAGTTGTTATTCATGGTTGATATTAGATACTAGAAACTGCTTTTGCTGATGTTCCCAACATTTCTGACACATGAATTCCTATGTACATTTAACATTTAAGGTTTCCCCAGTAGATATCATAGTTGTCCACAGCACATTGGTATTCTCATTTCAGCTACGGATTTTGTCAACATGACAACAGTGGCTGTGTCAAAAGGTTTCCTTGTTGACTCCACAGCTCCAGTCTTGACTGGCCAGCTTCTACAGCTAGAGGGACGCTACATCACATCACGTGTGGTGCATGTCTGGTAATATTGGACATGATGTCTAGAAGTTCATGGTCAGAAGTGTAATCCTGTCATTTTTCCTGATTGTGTCCAACTATAGTGAGTGAGTGAGTTTAGTTTTACGTCGCACACAGGAATATTCCAGCTATATGGCGGCGGTCTGAAAATAATCGAGTCTGGACCAGACAATCCAGTGATCAACAGCATGAGCATCGATCTGTGCAATTGGGAAGCGATGTCATGTGTCAACCACGTCAGCGAGCCTGACCACCCGATCCCATTATTAGTCGCCTCTTACGACAAGCATGGGTTGCTGAAGGCACATTCTAAGCCGGACCTTCACGGGTGTGTCCAACTAAAACATAAACTGAGTAGAAGGGAACAAATATGAACCATATGTGCTATGTTTGACATGCAGGTGTGTGTTACTATACAATTTTATATTTGTACTATATATTGGACGTACTCCCGAAAACTTACTTATTTCATTTACCGATGGTTACAAGAAACATTGATGAATTATGTGTGTTTTTAGCTGGTCCAACGTGTTCTTAGACGAGGAAAGCGGAGTAAAGGAATACATGGTTTCCATGGGTACCAGACCTGCGTACGCTGACGTGTCAGAGAACGTGATCACTAACCAGGATTGCTTGGACTTTGACACACTTAACAACGTTGTGGATGGACATTCATATTATTTTTCTCTGAAGGTATATGTAGTAGAGAGTGCAATACTTGTATTTTGATAAAGCAAGCAGCAAAGCAAATACCATATTGAGTTTAAGTAAGCGTTGTAAGGTGTAATGACTGCTGTGAAACTCCATGTGACAACAAGAACGGGTATGCATATAATTTTCGCTGTGATTTTCGCCCAGGCGTTCAACGGTGCAGGTTTGTACACTCTCTCTTCATCACGACTTCTGACAGTGGACACCACGCCTCCATCTACCGGCCACGTCTATGACGGATTACAGTCAGCTACCTCAAATGACGACAAAGACAAGGACTATATCACCAGTGTCTTAGAGATGGGGGCCTACTGGGAAGGCTTCGACCTTCCTCATTCAAGTGTCGTCATGTACAAGGTCAAGGTCGGGACCTGTGCAGGATGTGACGACAAGCTGGAAGAGATAGAGTTTGGAAACACAAAAAGTACAGTTTATTTTAGATATCAGGGCATATTACTTTTGAAATATTGACGAATAGAACTTCTTTGAGAACACATATTTATAGATATGAAGGGGGGTATGTTGCATGATAGAACCACTATTTGGATATAATACTTCATACATATTAAATACCACGTATAAAATATTAAATGTTTCACACATCAGCCTCCAGCACATCCTGCTCTCTCCAGGAGTGAAGTACTTCACCACAGTGACAGCCTGTAACACAGCGCAGACCTCTGCAGCAGCTCCTCAACCTCAGACGGTGTGATCCTGGACAGCTCCACACCAGTTCCTGGAACAGTGCAGGATGGCACAGGCGACATGGACATACAGTTCCAGGCAACGAGGTCAATGTTCCAGTTATACGGGAATAATGTTATATTGATTAGAGCAATGCTGTGTGATATTTATTGTTTTTCAACCACTTTGTCTGTCTGAATCCTTGTTTTAGGACATTTATGGGATGCAAATGGCGAGGCTTCCACGATCCTGAATCTGGTTTAGACCACTATGGATGGCGTGTAGGAACAACACCAGGAGGTGATGAGATTCTGGCAGCCAGGAATGCAGCCCTGGAAGAGGGCATCTTCCACATCTTCCCACGTGACCAACAGCTGCCAGTTGGGCACATGATCTACAGTACTATCCGAGCGTTCAACAAAGGAGGTACAATACCTATTGTTCTTATCAGATCTCTTCTGTGTATTTCGATACAAGCACCTATTTATTCTCTCGATATATCTATACATATTAATTACTTTTAACATGTCACTGATTTTGAAATCCGCGGTACAGGATTGCATTTGGAAGCAACGTCCAATGGAGTTATGATAGACAACAGCGCACCTGTTGTTGTGACCTCACCGACGGCGATGCTCGGTATTTCTTCCGTTGTTGCCAACACTACAGTCAGTCGGACAGGTCTGAGTTTACACTGGAAGTTCCAAGACGTTGAGTCCTCCATAGAACGCCTGTACCTCTCCTTATCATCTCACCTGTTTGGAGAGATAGATAGTTCTAATCTTAAGGTACAGTGAAGCTACTTGAATCATTTTTGTCAAATTATACCTGGCGATTATTCCTTGTTCATTAAAAGTAATTGCAGCTGTTTTACTATCCTTTGTTGAAAGGTATGTTTATGATTGAGTGTTTTCTTAGTTAAAAGGCCGTTTGATTGTCGATGCGACTGCAATTCTTGACTTACTTACGCGTGAATAGTGTGAAAGTACTCTGATAAACAATGTTTTATAGATTCTAATAAATACAACTCATACACAACTCACAGTTTCTGAGCTCTATGTACATGTATATGCATTATTACATATATGTTTAATTGATAGTCATGTGCATTTGACACAACACAGCAGATATTTGGCCAATTTAAATAAAGCGTACCATGCGCTGATATTATGGATCCACTAGTAGTTGGATTTTGGATTCTCCAATTAAAGGAAAGACATTTTCGATGCTATTATACGGTTGAAATTGAAAAATCGCCTGGGGTCGACCAATTAAATCATCGAAAAAAGTCGTTTTGCCATTTCTTCTCGTTTTATTTAATAAACTATTTGAGAGCGGGAGCTATCCAGATGTTTGAAGTAAAGCAATAATTATTCCATCACACAAGAAAGCTGATATCCACAACCCAGATAACCATAAGGGCATTTCATTGTTAAGTATTTTAAACAAATTATATACCTGCATATTAAACACTCGTTTAAAACAATGGGCAATTTTCATGAATAAGATAGAAACTCAAGCGGGTTTTAGAGGAGGTTATTCTTCCATAGATCATATTTTCACGTTGAATGCACTTATTGAAAAATGCTTATGTAAAAAGAGAAAATCTTTCATAGATTTAAAAAAAGGCTTTTGATTTAATAGACAGATTTAAATTATGGAGCTTGTTATCAAGCGGTTTGGGTGGGGAAATGATGCTAGCGCTAAAAGGTATTTACTCTTCTGTTAAATCATGTATGCGATGTAATTAGATTTAACAGACTACTTTAACTGTCCTTTTGGTCTAAAACAAGGTTGTATGCTGAGCCCAATACTCTTTTCTCTGTTCATAAATGAACTTTCTAATGAAATTTCACAAAATGGAAAACATGGCATCCAGTTATTTCCCGATATGATAGACATGCTGATGCTACTTTTCGCAGATGATGTTATTTTAGCTTCAGATACTAAATGTGGTTTTCAAAATCAATTACATATTTTACCATTGTATTCAGATAAGTGGGGTTTAAACGTTAGCCTTGATAAATCTAATATTGTTGTATTAAGGAGGGGAGGTAGACTTAAAAGTACTGATGCATGGTACTTTCAAGGTAATAACTTAAAGATAGTCAATAGCTATAAGTATCTCGGTTTTCTATTCACGTGTAATGTTAGCCTGGGCAAGTCGTTATCCGATCTCTGCTTGCGTGGTAAAAAAAGCATTAATGGAATTAAATAGCAACCTTAGAAAAATCGGTTCGTTATCACAGGATATCTTTTTCAAAATATTTGATAGTCAAATACAATCCATCCTATTATATGCTTCAGAAATGTGGGGAGATAAAAATATGAATGTATTGAGAAAATACATCTTTCGGCTTGCAAATTATACCTAAACGTTGGACCTCAGATACCTAACGCTATTGTGTATGGTGAATGTGTCCGTTTCCCTATTTTTAATGTAGCTGTTCATTGTCTTAAGTACTGTCGTCACGATATGGCTGAAATATTGCCGATGTGACGTTAAATATTAACTCACTCACTCTTAAGTACTGGATTAAAATAATAACAATGCACAAAGATCGCATACCAAAGAAAGCTTATGAAATGTTACTTAATCTCGATAACCTTGGCTATGAGACATGAGCTTAACAAAATTGCAATTTGCTCTTTTCTTATGTATTTGGATTTGTTTGGTTATCACAAACTGTTGGGAATCGTGTAAGTTTTATCGGAATCTTTCAAACGCGTTTAGTGGATGTTTTTTTATACAAAATTGGAGATCCGATCGTGACAATCACATATCACACGTTATGTTTTGTATAGAGAATTCAGAAACTTATTAAACCCTGAAAAATACCTTTTGAAATTGCAGATTATAAATTACGTAAATGTTAAGTTAGATTTAGAGCAGGATTATTAAGGGTAAACTTTAATGAAGGACGATGGTGTAAAATTAACGCAACTATGAGAACATGTCCTATCTGTCCTAGAAGACGAATACCATTTTACTTTCATTTTTCCAAGATATGATGACCTACGTCGTTAATATTTACCAAGTGATTTCAAAACGAATATGCATAACTTTAAGAAACTACGTATGACAAATAACGAACATAGTTGAAAATGCTCAGCCTATATATAATGCATTCTTATGAACGAAGATGTGAGCTATTACAATAAATCATAATATTAAATACCATATTATACTTCTGTATTATCATATCATATCTTTTTCTACTTTATCCATATATAGAGAATACTACACGAGGTCTCATTACATACGAATTATACGAAAACGAGTGTCCTTCCTATGGTATCTGACCGAGCGAAAGCGAGGTCAGATAACATAGGGAGGTCACGAGTTTCGTATAATTCGTATGTAATGAGACCGAGTGTGGTATTTTATTTATTACCCACTTCTTACATGCATTAAATTGACAAAATAGCGTATTTTTGTTATTTTTTGGTTTCAAACCGAAACCGGTTTCATAAAGAGGTTGCGGAAGAGTTTTGTACTGTAGTACAATATCTGCATGACGTCACACTGTAATGACGTCACTGACATGGTAACCGACGTCACGATGCATGTCAGTTGTCATCGCCTCGTACAGCCTCGTACAGTAAACTACTCCGTAGCACCCCGTTTCTTGGTTTGCAGTTGCTTCCTTCGGCTAACATCACTGGTGGAAACATTGCGTTTATTTTTTCGACGGATATAATGTCTCAGTTCGACTCACAATTAAACAGCGACACGGCAACGTTCGCAATGTTTATATTCCCACAATGCATTTAAGTTGTAGAATGAAGGAATTCACGTGTTTGTTAAGAATGAAAAAATAGTTATGTCAGAATGTGACCTAACTGAGAGGTCATCGGTTATCCAATCAAATCGTTATAATCTCAGGTCAAGTCGTTACGACGCAGGTCAACGCAATACGACACATGTGTGACGTACGAGATTAGTATGCAACTACCCATACATTGACCTCGTGGGTAATAATAACCTGTATCGTATGTTCTGATTACCTGTATACATGTATGCAGATGGGCGTGTATACATGTATGCAAATTGTATTATAATGGATGACATTATATGTATATTGGCCCGATGGCCTTTGTACGGAAATAAAGTTTTGATTGATAGTGACATTCCCAGTTGAATGAACAAGATCAGTCTTTTGACACGCGAGGAATCATAGATGACTCCACAGCAACGTCTTTCGTTATGTGTCACTCGTTTTCAGTATTTTTTGGTTATCTTTTCATACCAGGGTTCTGAGCCAATTAAAAAGAATAAGTATATTGTTTTCACAATGTTTAACCAAATCCACAACTGGTCCCCAGATTCCAGGTTTTATTCGAGAATACACATACATAAATGTGGACTTGCATGATGGAAGTAAATACAAGGTGAAGGTCACAGCTTGCAACATGACGGGCCTCTGTACATCAGCAGCTACTTGGGACATTTTGGTTGACAGCTCTAAACCCAAAACAGGTAATCTGTTGTTGTGCACAATGAAATTTGGTGATTGTTTCGATTGAATGAAGGTGTAAAAACAGACCATGACACTGCTGTTGTTCCTCTGCAGGATCCTTCGCCATAGAAACGGACCACGCAGTGAAACTTCAACGACATCAAACTGGATGGATGACTTGGAACAGTACAAATCTAAACCTAGCGTGGCTTGGATTCTCTGACCTACATTAAGGAATACAACATTATCTTATATCCGTGGGGTCTGGAGAATTCGGAACTGAGTACAATAAAGTAAGTGAATAACCTTGTGATACGGCATCACAAAGGACAACTGAATAGTCACATATTTATAATATAAAATTATAACGGGTAGAGAAATCGTCTGGCCTTTTGTCAATAGACTAGGTTATAGTATTAGGTTTCAGACAACAATTTTAGTTGTATGCTGTGCACTGAGCATCTTGACATAAACAAGTCTTACCTAAACACTTTAAGAACGATAATGTTCATTATGTCAAGGTACCCTCCAAAATGAAGTTCACAGAGGACAGTTCGATGTAGATCTTCTGTAAGTGTTGTGGCCTCCACTGGTGTCTCTTAGAGGCACACAGTGTCTTCTTATGGATCTTAGAACGTTAGTAAACACACCCAGAGGAAGATGTGTCCATTTCTTAACAACGTCAGTGGTGGATTGACATGCTGATGAGCACGTCGACACAGTTCGTTCCAGATGTGTTCGATAGGATTGAGGTCGGGGCTACACGACGTCCAATCAAGAACTTGAATGCAGTCATTTCGTAGAAAATTCTGTCCAAGAATTGCCGAATGCAGTCTAGCGTCGTTTTGTTGTGCCATGTCTCTGCATAGATGGAAGCATGACAGGTTGCAAAATCTATTTCCTGTACTGGGCAGCATTAAAGTTTCCTCAAACGAGAACAATGGGAGAACGTCCGTGTGCGCAAAACGATTCCATGCCCCTTACGCTCCGCCACCAAATCTGTCCTCTTCACGGACGCAGACTTGAGTGTGACAATCACCTCGACCGCGGTACAGTCGGCCCCTGCCGTCGGCAAATATCAATGTGAAACGAGATTCATCGCTGAAGACAATCGAATTCCACTGTCTTTGACTGAACCTTTAACATTGGTCTATTATGGCGTCTTCAGGGCGAAGTCCAGCGGCATGCAAGCGATTTCTGACAGTTTGTGCAGCTATCCTTCCAACAAACATCGGAAACAGCTCCGGTTTGATCAATCTCATCCTAAAATTATAAATTGTTTGTCGTGAGCAGTCAAAGGCTCTTGCAACAACGACTGCAGACTGACTAGCATCAAGTCTCCCCATAACACGTTGGCGTTCTTGATTTGAAAGGCGTGTCATTTCCAAACAAAAATTAAAATGAAAAGATTAATTTGTTTTTCCACCTCACATTCAATGTGCGTGTCCAGTTTAAGCAAACATGCGGCTAATGACCTCATGAATTTGATTTTCACACGTGCATGTCGTGTTTTTTATCATTATAGGCCACAAAGTCAAGGTTTGCACTAATAAGGTTTGCAATAATTGTGTGTCGACTAATTGTGTTGCCAATAGTCAAACTTTTTAATATACTGAGAACCATTAAAAACGCAATTGGTATTTGTTGTCCTGAAACTTACACAAGTTCCATTGAAGATTTTTTCCTGCGATACAGAGGATGTATGGATAAAAAGCTGTTATTCTGTCCCATTTCGAGTTCGAGTCCCGGAGCATTCCTCTCACATGAACTTTGATACTTAAAACTGAACCTTTGACATTTCTCGTAAACACAACCACATTCATGAAACACGCTGTGCACATGCATTACCTGCACCCAGGCCCTGTAAAAGCACAAGGAATTGTGGAACTCAATCACTTTGAGAAAATGCCACACTTGACACAAGACGAAAGGAATCAGGTTATCGGTATGGTCAGCCAAGGTGCTTCAGATGTGATGATTGTCAGGCACTTTAATGTGCATCCATCCACTGCAAGTCGACTCAGACAACGTTTTCGGGCTACCGGAAGCGATGCTGATCGTCCGCGACCTGGTGCACCACCTGTGATAACAGCTCGATAAAACCGCTATGTCAGAGTTTCACACTTGCGAAATCGGTTCCAAACAGCTGATGATTAGTTAAGGAGGACAATTGGGACAAGATAACGTCATTTCAGCGCCCAAAAGGTGCAAGGACGCCTTGCTGCCTTCAACATCCGGTGTCATCACCACCCTTATTGCATCGCCACAGACTTGCCAGACAGCGATGGGCAGCAAATGGGGCCAATCTTGGCAACAGGACATGGCCAGATGTAATTTTTTCAGATGAATCCTGGTTTAACTTATCCTTTGCAGATGGACGTCAACAGATTTATCGACGTAAAGGAGAAAAGCTTGCGCCAAACTGTGTCCTTGAACATGATCGTTTTGGAGGGGGTGGTGTCATGATCAGACCGCAGACCATCACAGGCTGCAGACCATCAGAGGCTGCAGCCGTTCCAACAGCTGTTCCTGAGATATGTGTGTCTTTCAATGCCCCAAAGACTGCGAGCATGTCTTGCAGCGCTCGGTGGACATACACGATATTGACTGCAAGTGACCCCTCCTTTGTGTGATGTTGTTGCGTCACTGATGTTGTTGTTGACTGGACATTTTCAGATGAAATTATTCACAGATGTTCACTTAAAACATATCTGCCAGTTAGGTTTATATATGTTGAAATTAGTGTGAGTAAAGAAAGTATAAATGTCAAATTGCATTGTTAATGGCTTCCAGTAAATGAAATAATAACGCGTACAGAAACTGTCTTGACATTAATCACAAATTTATAATAGGGCAGTGGACTAACAGAGGTCTCCCACGAAGCAGCCGGAGTTGACAAGGGTGACGAAGGAGTTCTCCAGACCTTCAGTGTGCCCACCAAGACTCTGTCACATGATGTGACTGTGTTTGTAGCTATCTGGGCAGTGAATGGGGTACATGGCATACTTTAGGATGTAACTCACGTGTGTATACCGGTAGATATTATGAATGAATTCTCCTTTTCTATCTTTATACCTGGTATTGTCTGTCGCTGACATTGATGATCAGTCAATAGAATGTTTCGTTGCGACTCGCAGGTTGGCCTGCAGAGTGATGCCTACCACGCTGAACTGGTCCTGGAGGCAGACTCTACACTGTGGCTGGTGAGGAGGTGCCAGGCCTACAACTGTGAGGGACATTGTGTCTGTGCTGTGCAGGGCGGTACCTGTTCTGCCAGTAAAGCATGTGTACAAGACAAAACAGGTTTGTGGAGAAAAGAGAAATCAAACAGAAAAAGTATTAGGACATGGTATCACATTTCAGTCATTTTAGTAGCTAAACATCTCTCCCTTGTTTCTTGCATTTATGACTCTATGTCCAGTACATAAACTCACAACAGGTTAACAGAGCAGGAAGTACAATAACAGGAGGATCTTCAATTGCATTCCTTCATGTAAATATTTCAGTTATACCACGTTGCCATGGTATGGGAATGAAAGTACCTAGTGACGGGTGTCCTAGAAGTATATGATAGACAATATACTTGTTTGTTTATGACAAACGTAACATAGTTTTCATACCTATTTCGCGCAGTTTTGCTACACCAGGTAACGACGCCTGTTTTCTCGATCCAACACGTCGTCTCTAATGACTAGCATAGGGCGGTAGGGATCTATTATATTCCGAAAGGGGCGGTGGGATAGTCTAGTTGCTAAAGCGTTCGCTCCTCACTCTGAAGACCCGGGTTCGATTCCTCAACTGGTGTGAAACCCATTCATTACCGGTGTCCCCCGCTGTGATATTGCTGGAATATTTCTGAAAGCGGCGTAAAACTAAATTCACTCACTCTATTCCGAAAACATGGGTTTTATCACAGTCCCGGGAGGCAAAACGAATTGCGGTGAATCAGAGAATTTGACACCCATACCCACATATTTTTTTATTGTCTGAACATGTGACGGCTTTTCCTCTGTTTTGTCTGTTAACGAACTGGTAAAGTGTAATTCTGTCACAGGGGCCAACACTGTCACAGTCGTCGACACCATCAACCTCTTGTTTCCAGCAGAAGTTGACATGTCTCCTTTCAACACTTTCATGGCTGCCAACTGGTCTGTAAGTAACACGGTATATATACTTACAGATATCCGAAATATCGAGACATCCGTATCGAGTTAAAAGAGTTTAAATTGAATAATGATAAATTATGAAGGATTTTGCCGGGACCGAGATGTTTATTCGAGACAAGTGAGATATCGAGTTATCAGAGTTCGACACAACGGTGCTTGAGTGTATGTCCTCAGATAACTCTATGTACCGTTTACCGGGAAGTGAGGACGATGGCACCAATAAAAGGCTAGGGAATGCGAATGTGAGGATCGCAATATACAGTGCCAAAGAAATCTTATTTTGACATGCGTTTAGTAATTTGAGTATTCAAGAAGGATAATTTATGTTGATAAACAACGTCTTTATTCTACTGTTCACTGTGGGTTTTAAGTGTTATCAAGCAATATATGACATATATACAAGACAGTACAGAAGTGTTTGGATGAGGGTATGGTTACAGGAGAGTGGAGTAGCATGTTAATTACACAATACGATCTCATGTTGGCAAATGTCCTAACAGAAGAAGCCTGAAGTATAAACCAAAAAGATAAAAAAAGATTAGAACTGATTGGAATCCTTGAAGAGTAATGGTACGCTGGAGGCATGTAAGAGCATTGCTGACAGTTGACGAAACATCTTCTGATGGGCACTACTTCTTGCACTTTCCTGATTGTTTAGTCGTCGAGGGTGTGGTCTGATAAAGCTGAAGTTTTGATACTCAGCTCATGTGGTTTTGTTTTAATTCAGGACGTGAGGAGTATTGATGTTTTCCTATCATAAGCGTGGCTTTGGTTGTGTTTTAAATAATGTTTGTAAACTTATACATTTGTATGCTTACACAGGCAGGCGTTTCCTGATTTTGTGGCTGACATTTCATTGGTAGGGGTTTAGGGAGGTCATTATGGGACGATGTCGTATCGGCCAGTCTAGATATGCTCGTGTTTACTCATATGTATCACTATCATATGATAGTGGGTACCTGAAACGGCTGTATTCACATTAAAATCTTATATGACTTATAAAAGTTTTAATAGAGGAAAAAAAATGTTGTTTATCAAGTTTAAAACACCCGAAAGACACAGGAAAAAACAAGTTGGCCTAACGCTTTTGGTATATTTTGACATATGATCTCTGCTGGCAATCCAGTGTGTTATGAATAAAGCATGGTGCTAATACATTTATGGTGTCAACTGAATAAATGGTTTCGTTAGCGTTTAAAACAGCAGGTCGCTGTTAAATATTCATCCATATCATTATCTTACCTTTCCCTATTTCAGTACCATTCACTGATGTCCGTAGCCAAATACAACAACGGGATGATATACTTTGATTCTTGTTGAGTACAATATTGGGCATAAGGCTCACGAGAAGAACAGATAAGACAATGAAGTCTCCAAGGCAATTTAGCGAAGTGCATAAACAGAAAATCTTTTCATTATAAACCTTCTCATACCTATAGCATATGTGTTGTTTTGCAGCTACGAATACAGTGTAGGAGTTAGTGAAAAGGATTTACCGGATGGAGTGTTCAAGAAATCTTCCCAAAGAGTATGGTTTGATGCAGGTCAACAAACATCAGCGATTTTGTCCTTGGACAAAGGTCAATGTAAATTATGTTTTTCCTTTGTTATCAAAAGGGGTATTTTTTCATCTATTTGAACTGTTCATTTATATTCTTCCTAATATGATCCAGTTGTAAAATAATATCAATGCATTTCGTGCCTTAAATCTTGCTGCTGCTGTGAATGGTTTCCTGGAGATATATATCAGAGACGTTTCAGTCAATGTGATGTAGCCTCCCCTGTCGTGTATTTTTTTCACAAAGGCAGTGATGTCATTAAAAGAAATTCCGTTTAACTTTCTTTCTTTCTGAGGTATTTGAAGTACCTCATCGCTTTTCATAAAGACATATGGTTTTCATATTTTATGCCAAGACGCATGTAACATTTACAAAGAGGCGGTCATCACAGCTACATTCAACAATATATATATATGAAGGGGCCAGCCGTGACCTATTTTGAGAAGTCAAAATGTTTCGTATTACATTCCGGAGAAGGGTTCAGTGATGATTGGGATGGGGCTGTCTTAATACATGCTATTTCTTTGTTTCAGGTAGCTTTCTGACACCTGGAATACAATACTCCTTCTTCGTGAAAGCTTGGTAGAATAACAGAAATTACAGCATCTTCAAGTCAAATGGTGTCACTTTCGTTACATCACCACCCACGGTAACAAGAAAGTCAGGGAGAACTGTAAGTGCATTCTGTGGTACATACTGTTTCCCATTAAGAAACGTTAACACTTTCATAGTCACGGATTTCTAATTAAATACATACAATTGTCAGCATTACTTTCCCCTTATACCCGAATGAATCAGGCTCGCCGGATGTTAGAATTTTCTCCTGTCGTTGCTATTTTGATTTGTATCATCACTACATAACTGACAGACTCAAATATTAAACAGGTGAAGGAAGTCCTAAACATCAGTGACTCCAAAGACATAGACTTCCAGACACAGAACAACACACTTGTCGTAACGTGGTCTGGACATTTCCTGCCTGGTATAAGCAGCATCCATCGATACAGGGTCTACATCAGCACGCACACAGGAGGTATTAGGATTACTGATCTTTGTTCATCGCATTATGTACGGGAGTTTTGAACTCGCATGATCCATGGGTGTCATCAAGCCCATAGCGCACTGAAGTGATCTAATCGAATGAGAGAGTTTCAAATGAAACATTTATGTAAATCATACTCCATTTGATCACTGATACATTTCAAATTTATATTTACTAATTTAGTAAAGAGATACTGCTCAGGGTCACATAAATACAAAGCAAGTAAGGTTCTGTTTCTAGTACTGTTTCTGCAGTTAAAGAATGACGATATGTTACCATTAGTAGATAAACAGGATTTCATAGTTTTACACATATCTAGGATATCTTTAACATAGTTTCCTTTGACATGCTTATTTGTTAACTTTGGCTAAGGCGATCCTGAACCCAGTGGAACCAGGATCGGATCATGTCCACATCAATTTGCTATTTGGATGTACAACATAAACAAGCTCTCACAATTGGTTGTTTAAGTCCATGGCATGTCTCGACCTAAATCGATTTTTTACAAGTAACATGATAAAATGGATAATTGCTTACTAGCTTATTAAACACCATTCAATATCTCCAAATCTATTTTACTGACTGGATGTAATGTGCCTGTTTTATAAGTATCCACTTTCCTAATATGTTTACTACTATGTTGATGTTCTCAGGCCACAGTATCCACGAATCAGGGGACCTGACCTCCACCATCCATACGGGGACAGGTCTGAGTTTACGTCCAAACACAGTCTACTACTGCAGTGTCCTGGCTTACAACAAGGCTGGTCTGGTCAGCTGGGCCTATTCTGATGGAGTACAGGTGGACGTCATGCCTCCAGTGGCAGGCAGAGTGAAGGATGGAGCAGGTACGATAATGCGAATATAACTGTCTGTTAAGGGAATGCCCACTACAGAAATGAAAACAGCAGGTATTTTCAGCATTAAAGACGCATTATACATCCATATATTTCTAGCGTGTGGGAACACTGCAAGACTGTATCTTATACATCTGCAGATATCCACGACCAGGACTACCAGAGTTCTACATAAAAAATCTCTGTCTTCTGGCACGGCTTCTCGGACACAGACTCCACAATCGTCAAGTATTTCTGGTGTGTGGAGACAATCAACGACACATCAGATTGCAGTGTGATGGACTGGCTGGATACTGGACTGCACACATCCTTCAGTATATCGCTTCCAACTCCATTGTCTGCTGGTAAGTATATGGTATGTTGCATCTAACATATTGAGCCCGGACATAGTAATATATTTCCTAACATCCAATGTACTGACTATTTTTACAGGTACCATATGGAACAAAGTGTATGCTGTAGACGTGGTTGGCCATGCCTCTGACGTAGCTGTATCTGATGGAGTTGTCATCGACACATCACCCCCGGAACCTAAGGATGTAGCATATCTTGGAGACAATCTGGTAAAGAACCCATCTTTCGAGGTAGACGATATTACAGGAAATACATCAAAATGCAACCTCGTCATACCAACATCATGGGAAACTGACACAGCGTCCTGTATCAGGGTTAAGGCGCCGGATTCACCTTTAGCTAAAGATGGACATATGTTTGTGTCCGTAAGTGGAAGCATCCAACAAACGATCTCAGGTCTTGAGGTTGGGAGGCATCACTGTCATGGCCATGAATGCTGCTGGACTGACCACTGTTTCCCATGCACAACCCATCGTTGTAGATCTGACTCCGCCATTCTTCAGTCATATCAGTGATGGGCCAGGTAAATTCTCCAAAACACGTGAAAACAATGTCGCTTTACTACACATTCGGTGATGTCCCATCCGTGTCACTTCCTTATCATCACATTTTGGCCCAGAAAGTGATTGCAAGGTCAATACTCCAAGACAATTGATGACGGTCACAGAAAGGTCATAGGTTGCAATGCTTGTTCATGTGCCTTAGAATACTTATGGGAAGTAACGACACAAAACTAGCCATAGGGCGAAACATGTCATCAACATATGAGACCAGGTTGGAAATGAAATAGTAACATAAACAACAGGCAGCATATTACAGTACATGTTCAGTTTCTTTGTTGATACTTGCTGGAAATAGTTAACGAGAGACAATCTAAAGTGACTGAACCCAATACTAGCAATGAGCATTTAGTGCTGATAGGCAGTGAACGAATATCTGAACTGAGCAACCGTAAAGTGATGGCTAATTAATACCACTAACAAGACACACAAACAGCTAATTAAATGGACTGTGTCCAGTAAACGGACTGAAGTGAAGGGATGAAACAAGCTACTTAAAGGTATCAGCCACATGTACTCTTAGTAAGGAGACATACATGACTATACATACAAGAGATATATCTAAAGAGCAGTAGGTAATCTTGCTAGGGAGTGACGTGGTGATCAAAGTTATTAATCATTTTCAACAAGTAACATTTTCAATAAGATTCAGACACAAAGTATAGAACTGATAAGCTAATTAGAAAAAATGAAAATATAATAGTTCACTAATAGCGTAATTAACACAAAAGCACAGAATGGAAGCGGAACAGGCCTGCGATTGCCGCACCTTCGAGAGTTGTGGATGGTGAGGTGCTATTGTTAAGCATACCTGAATAACGATGAGCGATATATTTGTATACACACTATTACTTGCATTATTTCGGAAGGTTTTTTAAGTTTAGATTGTCGCTTTCTGAAGTGTTGATTTATGTCATTTCTTTGTGTTTAGGCTCAGATGAAGATCATCAAACATCAAGTGTGGTTAGCGTCAACTGGAAAGTGACGGATGGAGAGTCAGGTGTCGATCACTGCGACTGGGCTATTGGTACGTAAATGCCCGCACCGTAAATGCCCAAACCACTTGCAGTACACATATGCGACATTGTCCGATGTGCACTTGGAGACTGGCTCGTCATACAACGTCTGTGTAGTTCCTGTAGACATCTTTGGTACGACTGGAGAGAGAACTACTTCCTACTTTACAGTTCCCAATGAATCACCTGATGTATCTGGTAAGTATTGATAATGTTACACAATCAACGTTGTGTTATTGTTCGGACATGATATTATGTGTTTATATCTAGGATAAGTTATTCTTTGACAAAAAAAAAGCAAAACGTTTTCAGGTTCTAGAAGCGTGAATGTGGTCTGCACGTTTAGAGACATATTGTGGTAGTTTGGGAAGTGATTATGTCAGTTTGACTCGTTAAGCAAATTTGTCTGTGTTTAATAGTATTTTATTCTTTGTGTCTTTGATGTTAGAAAGACAGGTGGTGTTTGACCAGACCAGTAAAGTACAATTGTTTGAGGCATTTATTTTGTGTATGCAATACCGTCATTAGAATTTCGGTTACACTTCGAAATGTACTGGTTATACACACGGTCGTAATATTGCTGTTAAAGCGGCGTAAAACTAAACTCACTCACTCACCTTTGTTTCAGATTCTGTGGCAAATGGTGAAGTCCTTGCCAACTTGCTTTCGAAAGTGCAGATCAGCTGCCTGGGAAAGCGGATGAAACGCGTACCAAGGTCAGCACCAGGAGGGAAGAAATTCCACATGACTCTGAGAAGCCATTGTAGAGGTCCATAGATGATACATACTTGTATTTAAACAAAAACAAACACGAAAACAAAAACGGTCCTTGATGGTACATACCTGTACTCGAAGAAAAACAAAAGTGTAAAAAAAACACACAGAGTCTGAAGTACTCCACGAGGTTAAACAGGCCTTATCCTGGGAAGCAAGCCAAAGGCCCGTCTGTGCCTATAGATAGCTATACTGAACAAAGACACTATATTTCCTTGATCAGTATATGTTCGGAAACAGGCAACAAATATATGTCGCTAATGCTGCCCAAACCAGGTGGTACCCAAAAATGAGGGTCTGAAAAAAACTCCACGAGGTATAAATACGCCTTAGACCGCGACACTAGCCAAAGGCCCGTCTGTGCCTATAGATAGCTATACTGAACAAAGACACTATATTTCCTTGATCAGTATATGTTCGGAAACAGGCAACAAATATATGTCGCTAATGCTGCCCAAACCAGGTGGTACCCAAAAATGAGGGTCTGAAAAAAACTCCACGAGGTATAAATACGCCTTAGACCGCGACACTAGCCAAAGGCCCGTCTGTGCCTATAGATAGCTATACTGAACGAAGACACTATATTTCCTTGATCAGTATATGTTCGGAAACAGGCCAACTACAAAAAAAACCAAGAAAAAGACTCATAATGGAAAAAAAGAACAGAAAAAAGCGAATGATTGTTATGCATGGTGTTCCTACATTTAGCTACTAGCTTCAGTGTTGTTTTTAGAATCTATGTAGATGATCCACATGTGCACTGGTCCATCGACTTGTGTCGACCAAATCGGGCTTTTACATAATGTCCGTTGTCAGTTGTGACTGGAATATTTCTTAGTCACATAAGTATATATTTTATTCATATGATCCTCACTGGCTTATCCCAATATTTCTTTGATTGGCAAAGGCATTCAGTATTAAAATGTCACATTTTGGCATCTGATATGAGAAAAGGCTTTGAAAAATATTATGACGATAAATAATTAAATCAAATAATGCGTTATGGAAAAGTATTGAAGTAGCCTGAAGTACAATTATGAATAATTTGCCGGGCCATCTAATACAACTGCCTATGAACAAAAAGACAACCTTCATTCGTTTTCATTCCGTTTCGAGAATGAAGATGTCGTACTTGTTCATGGGACATGATTTAAGAAATACAGTTCGCTCAACCCCAATGTATAGTGTAATCAAGTACACTTTTGCCCTGAACTATTATAGTGAAAGTACGAGGACGTTCGAGTGATTTAACATTTTTACAGTGTGTTATGCAAACCATGAAACGGGGTGCTACGGAGTAGTTTACTGTAGGTGACTGTAAGAGGCGATGACAACTGACATGCATCGTGACGTCGGTTACCAAGGGTACGTTTGATAACGAGGGGGCAGACGAGAATGGCGGTGTTACGTCAATACAGTGTGAC